GCCAGGAGCTGTGAAGAGTTCAAATTTGGAAATCTCTGGACACCTGGCACCCGAAACCTTATTCCCCCGAACCCTCGGCGTATGAAGTAGGGTTTCTAGTATTGGGGTTTAGGGTTTCGGGTTTAGGTTTTAGGGTTTTGGGTTTAGGGTTTAGAGTTTCTGGTATGAGCATCCCCACAAGGACACCCGCTCTACACACACTCACCCATATTGATTGATAAGGAACCCATAAACTCACCCTAAACCCTAAACCCTAAACCCTAAACTTATGACATTTTTGGACAACCAAACCTTGTAAATCAAGGATTATTTATTTTTAGGGTTTAAGTATGGTTTCAAGTACACTTGCAAAGTACAAGTACAGTTTGCAGTACGTTTTCAAAGCACACTACCGCATACAATTCTGAGTACAAGTGCAAGTTCCACTACGACTTCAAAGTACAATGTCGTATACGATTCTGAATACCAACGGTTTCGAAGTACAATATCGAGTCGGTTCTGGGTACAAGTGCATCTACGACTTCAACATGTAATCGGCTTGGAATCGTACCTGAACTCGTACTTTTGCAAGGGAAAGTACAATTTCAGGTACAATTCTAAGTGCGAGTCCAAGTACGATTCCAAGTACGATTCCAGTACTACTTGGAATCGTACCTGAAATCGTACTTTTGCAAGGGAAAGTACAAATTTCAGGTACGATTCCAAGCACGGTTCCAAGTACGATTCCAAGCTCGATTCCAAATACGATTTCAAGTACGATTTCAATCGTACTTGGAATCGTACTTGGAATCCTACCTGAAATCGTACTTTTGCAAGGGAAAGTACAACTTCAGGTACGATTCCAAGTGCGAGCCCAAGTACGATTCCAAGTACGATTCCAAGTACTGGAATCGTACTTGGAATCGTACCTGAAATCGTACTTCTGCAAGGGGAAGCACAATTTCAGGTACAATTCCAAGTACGATTCCAAGTACGATTCCGGTTACGATTCCAGCACGGTCTCCGAACCAGATCGTATGAAAATGTAGTTGCAGTTGGCACCATATCCAGAACCCTACTTTAAGATCGTATATGAAACTGTAGTTGCACTTTGGGATCGTATCCCGAACCCTAAAAGATGAATACTTTCAGACGATACAAGGATTGCTTGCAAAAATGTCATAACCCTAAACCCTAAACCCTAAATGAACTCACCCTGAAAAACTCACCGATAACAGTAAGATCTTGTCGTCCTCTTCTTCAGACAAGCTTGCGGGTAGGACTTAGCGTTTAGGCTTTAGGGCCTGGAATTTAGGGTTTGGGGTTTAGGGTTTGGGGTTTGGGGTGTGAGGTAGCCTGCAAATCAAACAAACGCATGACAAAACATGCGGGAAGGCACGCTGCTGAAACCAATGCCCTCTTGTATCTCCTTCTTCACATTGATCTCATCTTCCACGTTCGTGGCTGTCGCCTTTTCCTAAGGCAGGGGTCACGTCAGCCTCCCTAAGCCCTAAGCCCTAAGCCCTAAGCCCTAAGCCCTAAACCCTAAACCCTAAACCGACAAAAGCCGACTGCTGGCTGCCCTGCCATTAGAGGGTTCTTTTGCGAGGGGGTTTCGGCGGGGGAGGGCATGTAACCTAAGGTTCCCCAATACTCCCCACTACTACACCCTAAACCCTAAACCCTAAACCCTAAGTCCTAAACCCTAAACCCTAAACCCGAAACCAACGCTTGCAAAATACAAGTCCTTCATCCTCGGCGCTGAACCCCTGATCCCTGAACCTGAAGGAACCATCCCAATTAGGGTTTAGGGTTTAGGTCTTAGGGTTTAGGGTTTATAGGGCTTAGGGTTTAGGGTTCAGGGTTTAGGGTTGAGGGTTTGGGGTTTAGGGTTTAGGGGTTTAGGGTTTAGGGTTTAAGGTTTAAGGTAGTTCTGGCAGCACAACCCCTACACCCATACCGTAAACCCTGAACCCGCAAGTCAGGGCCAAGTCGCCGAGTCCACTTGGCTAACGGCTCCAGTGATTCGAGTTATCCCAACCTTTTTGAGGTGTAGGATTTAAGGTTTAGGGTTTCGGGTTAGGGTTTTAGGGTGTAGGGTGTAGGGTCCGCCGACCCTGGCGGCGTGTTGGATGGGAAAAGGAGGTGAAAACCTCTTTCGGGGGGGGGGGACCGCACCCCCCACCCCCACTACCCCCCCCCTTACCCCATCCTTCCCCCCCCCCCCCCCCCCCCTACCCCCCCCCACCCCCCTACCCCTACCCCGCTACCCCCCCCCTACCAATTGATGGGGCTGCCCTGGTTTTCAAGCTAGCTTCAGCTCCCAACGTTTCACAGAGGCTCAAGCACATCATCTTTTTTGGCATCCTTTGAGCTGACGAGCGCGTTTAAACCTTTGCTCCAGCGGGGTCGGCGGCTTGAGCCGGAGGCTCTTAAATCCGGCCCCCGCGCCGCCCGTGGTCCAGGGCGGAGCCCGCGTCGCACGAAAGCGCTAGCTTTAAGGGGCGAGCGCCCGAGCCGCCGACCCCGCCCAAAATTGCTTCAAATTCGCGCGGGGCCCTTCGGGAGGCCTCCGAAACGGCATCCAAGGGGACGCAACACGCGGTGGTGCGAAAAGCACGAAAACCTCGTAAAAACCATGGGTTTTTACGAAAAACCGAGGCCACAAAACACCCGCAGCACCCCATTAAACCCTCATGGGCGCGCATCATCGACCCTAGCTTTTCACATGGGGCGCGCGCCAGGCCGAAACCATGTTTTTCAGGGTTTGGGGGGGGTACCGGAAGCCCAAAACCAGGCGAGCATCATGAGCATCAGCAGCCCTGGCCCGCGGACCCAAGGCAAGAAAAAACGCTGAAAAACGCTGAAATCACCGTAAATACCGTGTTTTTATGAGGGTTTTCACGCGTGCCTCCGACCCCCACCCTTGTTGCCCTTGACCCGCCCCCAAAGTGCGCATCATCGAAACCCACGTCGGGGGGGGGGTCTGCTGATGCTGCTGATGCGCGGGGTCCGGGCGCATCATCGAGCCATCGTTTCTCATGGGCTTCGTGGGGGGGTCCGGGCCCACGGCCCAGAGACCCAGCTGATGCTCATGATGCTCGGTTTGGGGGGGTGTGAGTGTTTTGTGGGTCCACGTAAAAACGCCCCTAAAGTCGCTCATTTTACGCGCTCGAACGGCTTCGTGCCTACAAAACACCCGAACAGCAGGACCCCGAATGCCCTTAAGGGCATTCGGGGTCTTGCTTTTGGGGGTTTCGTGGGCACGCAAGCGTTCAAGCACATACAATCGGCGTGTTTAAGGGGGTTTTGGATGGCCTGGGGGAGGCCGCTGATGCTCATGATGCTCCTCCCTTTCCTGGGTCCCAAAAGGCTTCCCAAGCCCAAAAACACGTGTTTACAGCGTTTTCTGAAGGTTTTTCGAAGGCAAAACGCATGCATAGAATGCTTTTAAGGCCCCCAAACCAACCCCACTGATGCTCCTGATGCGGGTGCGCGCGCGCGCGCGCGCGCGCGCGCCGGGGGGGGGAGGGAGGGGTGGCGAAGGCAGGAGAAAGAGAGACAGAGAGAAGGAGAGGACAAAGACACGGGAAAGAGAAGACAGTGCCAAGGTTCAAGGTTTCGTGCTTTGGGGGGCGGGGGCCGGCCCGTGCCGCTAGGCCTGAAATTTGGGGTTTAAGGTTTAGGGTTTCGGGTTTAGGGTTTTAGGGTTTAGGGTTTAGGGTTTAGGGTTTAGGGTTTAGGGTTTAGGGTTTAGGGTTTAGGGTTTAGGGTTTAGGGTTTAGGACTTAGGGTTTAGGGTTTAGGGTTTAAAGTGTAGGGTGTAGGCTGTAGGGTTTAGGGTTTAGGGTTTAGGGTTTAGGGTTTAGGGTTTAGGGTTTGCGTGAATTTGGGGGAATGAGGGTTTAAGGTTTCGGGCCTAGGGTTTAAGGTTTAGAGTTAAGGGTTTGAGTCGAGCTTTTAGGGTTTAAAGAGGTCGAGGGGTTGGGTGGGTTTAGTGGCCACGGGACTCGGGATAGGCCCCCTATTTTGGGAAATACCCATATGAAGTAGGCTATATATTTCTTGTACCCCCAAAAGGACACCCAATATATACACTCGCCAATATTAAAAAGGAACCTTGTATACACTCACCAATAATTAACAGTCATACAAACCCTACTTCATATCGGGGTTTCCGAAAATAGGGGTACCCTTTTGGCGGGTCCCTTTAAGAGGATTCTATTCTATTTTTGGTATAAAAGGGGCACCCCTATGTTTCTCGCACAGCTGCTGAGAAAGAACATCTGAAGAAAGCAGGGGGCTGGCGCCATGTGACATTCGTACGAAAGCACATAACTAACCTAGAGTTTAAATCCTAATTGAACCCCAATAAAGGGTTGACTCAGTCCTTAACTCCTAGACCCCACACCCCAAACCACCCTAAACCCCAAACCACGTTCGTGAAAACAACCGCCTGGCCCAAGTGAATCTCGTCGCGTAGCCTGGGCGGTAACGCAAGACCCCTCACGGTTGGTTTAGGGTCCCCTCTCCCAAGGGTTGGCGGAGACACCCGTCTAGCAAAAGATTAGGGTTTAGGTTTAGGTTTAGGGTCCAGGGTCTAGGGTTTAGATTTGGTCCTGTGCGAAATAGCCCATAGCCAATCATACACGCCTCTTGTGTGCCCCGCACCGGCATTGGCTAACAAACCTGTGACAAGCCCCCTAGCCTACTCGCTTCTTACAGCAACTCCCCCCCCCCCCCCCCGCACCCTTCCCCCCACACAACCCTCCTCACAGCCCAGCCTGCACTTCATGCGTTACGTGACTGACAGGGAGCACCACCCTCCGAGGCTTGGGTTTAGGGTTTAGCGCAGAATTATTCCCTCCCGCAACCTTGAACCCTTTGCTCTGGCAGCCCTTTAGATCTGGTCCTTTCTTGCCCTGCAATGGGTACTTTTTGCAGGCGACAGGTGTGTGGGAGTGGACGGTGGCCTTTGAGGTGCGGGCCCGAGGTTCAACCAAAAGGCCAAGAAAAATTACTCACTCCTCCTCGCAGCCCAGCCTGCACTTCGTGGCTTGCGTGACTGACAGCCCCAACCCCTAAACCCTAAACCCTAAACCCTAAACCCTAAACCCTAAACCCTAAACCCTAAACCCTAAGCCTAAACCCTAAACCAGAAACCCTAAACCCTAAACCCTAAACCCAGCTTCGCGGTTCTCCATGCAACCATGGAGTTGGCAAAAAGCCGAACCCCCAAAACCGGCTTGGTGTGTAGGCTTGGCAAGGTCTTGAAACCCTAAACCCTAAACCCTACACCCTTAAACCCGAAACCCTAAACCCTAAACCCAGGGAGCACCATCTCCTACCCGGGCGGCTGTGTGGCGTGGCTGAGCCCCCCCTCCGGGAGCTGCACTGGGCCCGGCCGAGGCGGGTCGTGTCGCGTTAAAATTGCAGCATTTGGGGTTTAGGGTTTAGGGTTTAGGGTTTAGGGTTTAGGGTTTAGGGTTTAGGGTTTAGGGTTTAGGGTTTAGGGTTATGCCCATGTCGTTCCAGTCCTGAATGCCTGCACTGCTTTCCGGTACCCCCTGAGCCTGCAGCGATTGTCACTGGTGAGATCTTGCAGTTTGATCTTTGCCGCGGATACAGAAAGCAAACACCACCAACTTTCCCAGGACGTTTACATGCAGCCTGGCAACGAGGCCGTTGAAGTTTCTGGCATGAGGAAAGTTGTCGGGATGTGCAGGGAGGAGGCCACGTGCTGCTCGTAGATCGTCCTTAACTGTTCTTGGAGACCTGGTTCTTTTCTGCAGATGGAGCTTGTACAACTACAAAAAACTCGACAAAAAGCGTTTACTCTGCAGTCTCCTTGGAATCAAAAAGGCAAAAGCTGACCCTAAACCCTAAACCCTAAACCCTAAACCCTAAACCCTAAACCCTAAACCCTAAACCCTAAACCCTAAAATTGGTCCAGAGTCCAAATACGGCGAAGGTACAAGGGCTCCTGGGACAGACTGGTGCCATCCGAGAGCCTTAAGAGACCCTCAAGGAGAATCCATTCCGAAATCTCTGAATGCCCCTCTTCAGGGTTTAGGGTTTAGGGTTTAGGGTTTAGGGTTTAGGGTTTAGGGTTTAGGGTTTAGGGTTTAGGGTTTAGGGTTTAGGGCTTCATGCCTCGATCTGTTGAACGCGCCTCATGACCTTAGCCCTGAACGATGCCCGGCAAGACAGGCATTCGCAAACAAGAATTCATGCGGATCAGACATGGGGACTAGATTGTGAACAGGGAAGTAGCCTTTGAGTCACAGGTTTGATGCTCCCTGGACAAACTTCAACCACACACACACACACATATATCTCCGCAACACTGACCGTCCTACGTCCTACGACATGGGATGGCTGCGGGCGCTCCTGCCACGTGTCGAGGACCGCCACCATCTGGCCACAGCGAAGGAGGTTGCTCCGAAAGACCTCCCCTAAGTCGTCGCTGCCGCACTGCGTCTGCTCAACCAGGATCCTATGCTGATTGTTCACGAAGAAGCACATGAAGAAGAACACCTCGTGGGGAACGATGGACGCGTGAGCTTGCCAGACCTGCAGCGCGCTGCGCACTTGGCTGATCCGGTATCGCCAAACCCAGGACATGAAATGCGTCTGCTGTCGGCGATCTGCCCGGGGGATCCAATCCACCAACGCGCATCCGGGTCTTCCGTCACGCGGGCACGGGACGTCAACTCCGATAGGGTCTGGGCCGAACCTCAGCTGCGTCAACCTGCTAAGACCTGACAGATCTGACAGTACAGCAGCGGTGAGGCCCCCAAAGCAACCCGGAGGCAGAATCTGCAGCCGGGCAGCCAGAAAGGTGCTTTCATCTGCTCGAAGCTTGGATCATCCAAGGACGTCCGCTCACGAGCGAGCTCCTGGAACTCCCGCGAGAGCAGGTAGCGCATGCTCACGCCCGCGCTGGCACTCTGCTCTGCCCGCATCTCGGCGACCCTGGCAGCGACCTCCTCGCAGCCGATGCCCAGGCTCCCCATGGCCGACGTGAAGTTGCTGACGAGAGAAGGCGTTTCATCCCACAGCTCCCCCCGAAAGGAGTCGCACAATTTGGCCACGGCCGCCTCCCACTTCTGTTTCTTGCGAAGGCGTCGCTTCGCGGCTGCATGGGCGAGAAACCGGCCGGCCAAGAAGATGGCTGCAAGACCCACTGCAAGCAGCGGCAGGTGCCACCAGATGCAGTCGTAGTCGGCAAGGATCACGAAAGGGAAGGAGCACTCCTGGCATACGTCCACAGCGCCAGGTGAGAACTTGCCGGCCGGGCAGGATGTGCAGGCAACACGGCTGGAGGTCGGGATCGTGCCGGGCCCGCACGGGGCGCAGCTCGGGGCTGCTCTCCATGCGTAGTGGCCCAGGGCGCACACGTCGCAGGCGCTCCCGTTTCCAGCGGGGGCCCTTCCTGCGGGGCAGGCCTGGCACTTCAGCGCCGGAGCGGCCGCCAAGTCCTCTGCCGAGGAAGAGCAAAGCCCCAACAAGTCCCAACACAAGCCAAGCAGAGAACGATGCCAAAAAAAAACTCACGCCGATGAAATGCTGAGCGCGACAACACCACAAAACACAGAGAGAGAGAGAGAGAGAGACACAGAAAGCGCATCCTGGAACCAGCCCGGCGTGGTGCAGCTGCAGCATTGGGCCTCACTCACGGACGTGATGCCGGATGGGACATGCCTGCTGCCGGGCGGACAGGTGAAGGTCGCGCAGGTGTGCTTCTGGAAGGCCCACTCCTCACCTCACAGTGAACAAGAAGTAAGGGCAAAAAAGTCAGGGCAGTGGACTAACATGCTTGGCCTCCCACCTTCTCCATCTTTCTCGAACGGGTCCGAGGAAGAGCGCAGGAAGCAGCCCGGCCCTTCCAGCCGAAAGCCCGAACATTCACCTTGCTCCTGACATGCCGCGGCGCAGCCGCGGAATCCCAAAGCTCCTCTCGAGACCTCCCCAGAACCGTTGCCCCAGCGCGCAAGCCCAAGATCAACGAAGCCGCTGTTCACAGGGGCACACATACCATCCACACAGGCCTCGTCCCTCGGGCAGGGGCAACTGCCGCACTTCGCGCCCTTCCACGCCGAGGGGTTTGTCACCAAGGAGCCCCATGCCCGGAGCACAGACAACCTGACGCAAGGCGAGAGGTTGTTCACCAGGTTGGATGCACCTTTGGCTTGGTCCACATCCCAAGAGCCAATCGGCTGATTGAAGGACCGGGCACCCTTGAACATGGCGCCCACGTCGGTGACACTTGAGGTGTTCCAGAGGCCGAGGGGCTGGTTGAAGGCCTCTGCGTTGTCAAACATGGAGCTCATGTCCCTAACGGCCGACGTGTCCCAGGCGCCCACGGGCTGGTCGAAGGCCTCTGCAAACTCGAACATGGAGGACATGTAAACTACGCCTGACGTATTCCAAGAGCCGACGGGCTGGTTGAAGGCTTCGGCACCCTTGAACATTTCAGTCATGGAGAGCACGTTCGACGTGTCCCAAGCGCCGATGGGCCGGTTGAAGGCCTTTGCTCCCCGGAAGATCTGCCTCATCGTCCGCACTTTCGAGGTGTTCCAGGAGCCGATGGGTTGGTTGAAGGCACTTGCAAAGGCGAACATCTCCCACATGGACACCACCGCGGACGTGTCCCAAGAGCCAAGAGGTTGGTTGAAAAACGCACAGTTGTAGAACATTCCCTCCATCCTCCTTACAGCCGAGGTATCCCAACAGCCGATGTCCTGATTGAATGCCGCTTTTCGACCAGGGGAGTAGAACATGAACCGCATGCTAACAACGGCTGACGTGTTCCAGGAGCCAATCGGCTGGTTGAAGGCGACAGCACTTTGGAACATGTCTTCCATGGATCTCACTGACGAGGTGTCCCAATTGCCAATTGGCTGGTTGAATTCCTTCGCATCTTCAAACATGGAGCTCATGTCAGTGACGGCGGATGTGTTCCAGGAGCCGATCGGCTGATTGAACGCCTGGCCATTGACACCCGCCTGGAACATGCTTCTCATCGTGGTCACTGCAGAAGTGTCCCATGGGTCAAGCGACTGGTTAAACACTCGAGCATCTTCAAACATGGAGCTCATATCCGTGACTGCTGATGTGTTCCAGCGTCCGATGGGCTGGTTGAACATCGAACCAGAAAACATCCCCCGCATGTTCACCACTTCTGCAGTGTCCCAGTCGCCAATAGGCTGGTTAAAGTTTGCCGTATCAGCAAACATGAAGCTCATGTCGGTGACTGCTGAAGTGTTCCATGAGCCAACCGCCTGATTGAAATCTTTAGCTCGGCAAAACATTCGGCTCATGTCTCGAACTGCCCGAGTGTCCCAAGAGCCAATCGGCTGGTTGAAAAGATGACGAGTGAAAACGATGGAGTCTGGATCGTCGCCATAGAACATCATACTCATGTCCGTGGCTGACGAGGTGTTCCAGAGGCCAATTGGCTGGTTGAAAGCTAAAGCTCCCAAAAACATTCCACGCAAGTCTTTGACGGATGCTGTATCCCAGAGACCAATAGGCTGATTGAAGGCAGCAGCCGTTCTAAACATGAAACTCATGTTGGTGACTGCCGAAGTGTTCCATGCGCCAATCGACCGGTTGAAGGCCCTCGCGCCATAAAACATCCCGCTCATGTCACCGACGGCTGATGTGTCCCAGGCACCAAGAGGCTGGTTGAAGACACTTGCTCCTCGGAACATGGATCTCATGTCAAGAACAGCTGACGTGTCCCAGGCTCCAATTGTCTGATTGAAGGCGCTTGCGCCCGAAAACATGTCGGACATGTTGATGACAGAGGATGTGTTCCACTGGCTGATGTCTTCGTTAAAGCTGGCGAGTCCCTTGAAAAGAGCACTCATGTCTGTCACTGCTGACACATCCCAGGCTCCAATCGAGTCGCTTTCCTCAGAATCTGAACTCAGGAAAAGCCCCCCAGGAAGCCCAAGGAAACCCAAGCCTGCCTCACCCTAAACCCTAAACCCTAAACCCTAAACCCTAAACCCTAAACCCTAAACCCTCCCGCCTTCCGGTCCAAGATTGCTTGTCTCAGCTCCGCCCCATCTCGGAAAGACCGACTTCGCACACCCGAGCAGAATGCCAGCAGGAGCAGGTGCCCGCAGCTTACCAGGCTTACCATCGTTTGCAGAAGTGCTTGGCTGCGTTGAAGTACGCAAAGCAGTGTTAGGCTGTCGGGGCTTTGCCAGTTTGGGTTGAGGGTTTAGGGTTGAGGGTTTAGGGTTTCGGGAGTTAGGGGTGGCACGGGCTTTTCGGCAAGAAGCTTCTCACAATCACCTTCGCACCCTCGAGCCGCACAATGCTTGCAATCACTTTGCCCGCCAGGTCCAAACTTAGGCGAAGGGATGCGGTTTAGGGTTTCGGGTTTTGCTACACTCTTGCGCACGTTGCATGCAGGGACCTTGCAAGATTTGAGAACTCCAGGTCACCGTGGGAAAGTCAGTAACTTCAACATTCCGCCTTGCGAGAAAAAATTTCCGTTCTGTGTAACCTTAAACCTTACTTGGAGGTTCATGGTACATGCTAACCAATTATAACTGTACTCATAACTGTACTTATAGCCATATCAGGTCACTTAAGGGGCTCAGAAGTGGGTTATAAGTACAGTATTCATTAGTTATTAAGTACCATGAACCTCCAGGCAAACCCTGACAACCCCCCCCCAAAAGCCCCCCGAAAAGCCCCCAAAGAGGGAGGCTTGGATCCAGAACCGAATTGGGTGCTGGGTTGCACCCTAAACCCTAAACCCTAAACCCTAAACCCTAAACCCTAAACCCTAAACCGTGGAGACGCTGCCCCACATCCTGCAAACCCTACACGCAATGTTATTGTTTGCAGGCCCGGTGTCAAAAAAACCTCTGCAACACGTTTCATGGAAAGCAGGCACAGTCAGTTTAGGGTTTAAGGTTAGGCATTAGGGTTTAGGGTTTAGGATTTAAAGTTAAGGGTTTGGGGACTGGTTCTTGGTAGGGAATGAGAGAATTAGGCACCTTGAATCCCCCTATAGAATCCCTGTACAAGGGGTTGTATAAGCCTTTGTAGGGATTCCATCAACCCTAAACCCTAAGGTACCCCTCGTTGAGCACTACCGAAGTGCACCAGCCCTGACCGCTCCAGGGTGTAGGTTTTAGGATCTAGGGTTGAGGGCTTTATGGGCTCGGGGTTAAGGAGCGATGGGCTTGAGGTTAAGGGAGCTTGGAGTGTCCCCCACGGGCCACATGCGGATCCCAGCGCCTAGTCCCTTTTGCCAGCTGAAGTGAAGGTCTCGGTTGATGGAAAATGGCCGCTGCCTCAACAACGGAGGCCTCTGGCAGACAGTGGCCGCAACAAAAGCACATCGGAGGTGCTTGGGGCCACGAGAGCATTAGCACATGTCCCCGTTAACCGTTAGGTTGGGGGGGCCACGGGACCATTTAGGGAACACTTTGTCTGTCTGGCACACGCGAGCAGAAAAGAATCCAGCTAGCTCGGTTTGATGCCAAGGCACCAGGGCGTCTCGCGAATTAGCTACTCGTGCTGTTTGCCACATAGCACCGTTAGCCTTGATCTTGCGCACTCTCACAGCTGCTGATTCTGATTGCTATCCCCAGTTCCCACCACCTGGGCCATCACGACCGGCGAGGTCAATGCACCTCCTGTGTAGTCTGGGGGAGAGCCCACGACGGGCGAGGGCAACGCACCTCCTGCGTAGGCTGGTGGAGAGCCCCCGGGCAGAGTCGCCATGGCAACAGCCGGCGGAGCATGTCCTCTATGGCCGGTTGCACAGCGGTAACAGGCCGACACAAGCAACAGGCTCATTCCAATGCCCATCAAGATGAAGGCAACCTGGGCCCAGGGTTGATACACGATTGTGTTGACCCTGCCATTCCCTGTCTGGATCATCTCATGGTCGGAAGTCATGGCGCCGATGGTCAAAATGAACAAGCCGAGGACAAAGGGCCCGATGCCGATGTAGCTGACCTTCTCAGGCCAGCTCTTCGCCTTCCATCGCGCGAAGACGTCCATCCGGACTGTGGCCAGGGGCGTCAGGACCCTAAACCCTAGACTGCAATGGAGGTCGCGGGGCTCTAAACTTCAGCAGCCTGAGCCATTGTAGAAATCAAATGTTGGGGACCAAGTCAAGGGCTGGCGGATGTGAGGGTTGAGAGTTTCAGGTCGAGGTTGAGGGTTTAAGGTTTACAGTGGTTTAGGGTTTAGGGTTTAGGGTTTAGGGTTTAGGGTTTAGGGTTTAGGGTTTAGGGTTTAGGGTTTAGGGTTTAGGGTTTAGGGTTTAGGGTTAGGGTTTAAGGTTTAGGGTTTAGGGTTTAGGGTTTAGGGTTTGGGGTTTAGGGTTTTGGGTTTAGGGTTTTGGGTTTAGGGTTTAGGGTTTAGGGTTTAGGGTTTAGGATTTAGGGTTTAGGGTTTAGGGTTTAGGGGGCTTGTGGCTTCCGTGGAGAAGGATTTTTGCTTTCGGAACTCTAAGCAACCGCTACGCGCGTCCGAACTAAAACAATCCGCTAAAGACAAGAAAGGCGACTGAAACACAAGGACCAAAACTGAGACCCACCCAACTTCTAGTTCACAACGCCATCCTAAACCCCACACCCTCCACCCTTAACCAAGCCTCAAACCCTAAACCCTAAACCCTACAAGCCCTGGCTTTGAGGGGGGGGACCCTTGAAGGTTCAGACCTCTCGTAGGTCGGCCCAGAATCCATTTTGCTGGTTTGGGGTTTAGGGTTCAGGGTTCAGGGTTGAGGGTTGAGGGTTGAGGGTTGAGGGTTGAGGGTTGAGGGTTGAGGGTTGAGGGTCTAGGCTACAATGGGAGTTCTCACAACGGAGTGAAGAATTTATAGGTTTCCCCCCCCCTTGAGGATTCACAGGATTATTTTGAGAGGCGAGCAGATCACATCTGTACAAGCCGAACTCCAAACCGAGCTCCCCACAACACGAGCATTCTCTCGCTGGGAAGCCTGGAGGTCGAATTCTCGCGCCCCGGGCGCAGAACCCTAAACCCTAAACCCTAAACCCTAAACCCTAAACCCTAAACCCTAAACCCTAAACCCTAAACCCTAAACCCTAAACCCTAAACTAAACCCTAAACCCTAATCCTAAAGCATGTTCAAGCGCGAAAATTGTCCGCACGCCGTCTCTGCATCGATCTTGGGCCGGCAGGAGGGCTTCCGAATTAGCGGGTTGAGAACTTGAAGGGTCTGCACATGAAAATTTGTCTGCGGACAATCTACGGTAGACAGACTTCTAGGTTTCGGGGCCTATGGTTGCGAAAGGTTGCTCCCCATCAGGTCTACACTTGAAATTGCCCCGCTTCAGCAAGCGCCGGATTGAGGCGGGCGGTCTCTATCAGCTGCTGAAACTGGTTCTCCGTCACATCACCAATCCACTGGACCATTGCCTCCGTCACGTGCTTGTCCACCTTGGGTTTCGGGTTTAGGGTTTTAGGAGTTTAGGGTTTAGGGTTTTAGGGTTCTAGGGTTCTAGGGTTCAGGGCGAAGGGCTGACAAAAGGTGCTCTTTCCTTCTGTCCGTCTGACTCAGGGGAAGCAACATGCTGCCAATGCTCCAATCCTGGGGGGTGAACTCTTGCAAACGTCGGAATCCTCCGTGCACCCCGAAACTCGAAGGGGGGGGGGGGGGTAATTGGAAGCCCTGTTGACTTAGCAAGTAGGGTTGGCAAGGTGGGTTCTGGGGATTATAAGAGGGTTTCGGGGGGGCACTAAGTAGACTTACTAAGCCAAAAGAGCTTCCAAGTATGCGTTTGGGGGAGGTGGGGGGGGTTGGGGGTACCCTAAACCCTAAACCCCTAAACCCTAAACCCTAACCCCTAAACCCTAAACCCGCGCAAGCGGCGCGACTGAAGCCCACGGTCTGACGAATCTCCCGTTTCACGTTGATCTCATCTTCGGTCTTGGTAGCTTTCGCCTGTGCCTCAGGGTTTAGGGTTTAGGGTTTAGGGTTTAGGGTTTAGGGTTTAGGGTTTAGGGTTTAGGGTTTAGGGTTTAGGGTTTAGGGTTTAGGGTTTAGGGTTTAGGGTTTAGGGTTTAGGGTTTAGGGTTTAGGGTTTAGGGTTTAGGGTTTAGGGTTTAGGGTTTAGGGTTTAGGGTTTAGCGTTTAGCGTTTAGGGTTTAGGGTTTAGGGTTTAGGGTTTAGGGTTTGGGGTTTAGGGTTTAGGGTTTAGGGTAGACATGGGCTTGTCCCTTTCCATTGCTTGATGCAGCACAGCATATATTCTTGTGAGAAGAAACCGGTCTCGCAGTGATAGACGTGCAATCGGATGCCCCAGGTAGCTTCAAGTGAGAAGGTGAGTGCAGATGATCAAGTGCTGATGATACTTATCGCCATCACGCAACACAAACTCGTAGAGAAGCCTTCTTCCGAAAGCCCTGAAAAAATCCAAGCTTCAACTAAGTACTTCACACTTACCGCACATCTGACATTTGCAGGAGCATGCTGCCCAAACTGTGTATGTATATATATATATATATAATACATATATGTATATATACATATTTACACTCTTGTGTTGAATATATATTTTTTGAAAATATATTTTATATATATATATATACATATATAGATACATATATATATATATATGCGCTTCGCAAGACTCCGCAATTCGAAACCCGTTTTGGGTCGACATGAGGTGCTCTCGCATAGGAGCTCCCCTAACTTGTAACAGAAAGTCAAGGAGTGGGAGGGCGAGGGTTTAGGGTTTAGGGCTTAGGGCTTAGGGCTTAGGGTTTAGGGTTTAGGGTTTAGGGTTTAGGGTTTAGGGTTTAGGGTTTAGGGTAAGGGTTAAGGGTTAAGGGCTACGGGTTAAGGGTTAAGGGTTAAGGGTTTAGGGTTTAGGGTTCAGGGTTTAGGGTTTAGGGTTTAGGGTCTATGGTCTAGGGTTTAGGGTTTAGGGTTTAGAGTTTAGGGTTTAGGGTTTAGGGTTTAGGGTTTAGGGTTTAGGGTTTAGGGTCTTTTAAGGTGTTCAGGAGAGGCGCCGA